GAACTTGGCATTTGTCCCAAATGGATTTCATTCTCCTTTTCAGCCCAGCACTCCAACCCATCAAGATCACCTTGAATCTTCTTTCTGTCTTCCAGTGTATTAGTCATCGCACCGTTTGTGTCATCTGATAATCGTTCCTTGCACTTCCACAGCATCATAGAATAATAGAGCTGGAAAGGGCCAGAAGGCCACTGGCTCCAACCCCCTGCTGCTGCAGGACACTAAGTTACACCATCCCATTTAGATGACTTCCATTAAGCCATTAATGAAAGAGCACTGGGCCCAGGACTTACCCCCAGAGTACCCCACTTGGTACCTCTTCCCAGTGTGAGAAGGTGCCATCGATGAGCACTGTTTGCGCCTGATTCTGTAGCCGACTGTGGATCCACCTGACAGTTGTTCCATTCAGCCCACTTTAGCTGGTTTGCTAATCAGGTATCATTGTGCACTTTGTCAGACTACGTGATGTAATTATGCATAGCTTCCCACAAAGGCAAGTCAGATAACCCTGTTTTATCCATGCGCAGATGGTATCTAAATACCACCTGTTCAAAGATTAACAGAGTCCTCAATCCACTGCACTTATCTTTCCAGCCTTGTACTATCAGTCATTTAGCTCAGTGGTTTTCAATTTTATACACTTGGGGACTGGCAAAAATAAGAAAATTATTTTGGGGACCGCTGAGGCAGAAATAAAAAGCATTATATACATAATATATTATTTTGTGTGTTAATTTTTAAATATAGCACCAAAAAGAAGATTCTCTACATTAACCAGAAGCTGAGAAGTAAAAATGCTAATAAAAGAATAAAATATTGAAATTAAATGTAATCGAATACAACTGAAATTTTTAGAGAACATTATTTAATTCAAATAGGGCTAGTGCGAAATCTGCTGCTGCTGCTGCTGCTTTTCAAGAACACTTGATCAAAAATTTACAATAACAAACTACAAAATCAATATAAATGCAATACTATGCTCATTGCAAATACCAATTCAAATGCAACATTAGCAGCACAGCAATACAAAATTGCTCAAACAAAGTTGCTCAATACGATAACGTTAAATAATGAAATGCAACGACTCCCCCCCCCCCCCCCAAACCCCCATACAAACCCCAGCACAGCCTGGCTGACCAAGCGCTCATCGGTTCCCTCCGCAACACAAAACAGGGAAAGGAGAAGGGCCGGTCGTGGCGCCCCGCCCAGAGGGCAGACCAGCGCGGCTCCCGCCTGGCTCCCGTTGAGCTGCGTCCGCCCTGCTCCGCCTCCTCCGCCGGGGAAGACGCGGGAATCGGCAGCGAGAGCGCAGCGAGGCCCGCGCGGGTCCCGGCCAGCAAGCAGCGGCTGACAGCAGCCCTTCCGTAGACCGGCAGGAAATGCCAGCAGACCGGCGCTTGAAAAGCGCAGATTTAGCTGGGATAAGGCCACAGAAAAATCCATTTAAACTGATGTTGCTTTGGTGCCAAAAGTAGGTAATTAAATAGAACATCTACATGCATACAAGCTAAAGAAATGGAGCATCCATGGTGGAAGAAGCGGCACTTCACTTCATCCAAACAAGCCGGGTTAAATTAAGCCTGCAACCAGCAGCTGCAAGGAGAGCGGACCAAAACTGAGGGAGTCCCCTGGTGGCAACAAAGGTCCCCCTGCACGCAGGAGGGCAGGTTTCCACCAAAGCTTACAGCCAACTCTCTCAGTGTACGTGTTGTCAAACGACTGTACAGAAGATAAATGAGGTAATGTGTGGGAATTCATTGCTGGGTCATGCTGTACTCACGTACCACACAAAGACCAAGAGTATTGTAATTTACCTATGTAACCATATAAGGCTTGTAACCATATAAGGCTTGTAACC